GCTTCGACAATATCCGTCCAGTTATGCAAGTAATTGTAAATTCTTTTTTTCGGGTTAGTTGTTGGCGCGTTAATGGCTGGTGTGCCTGATGGGTATGTGTTGAAGTCTCCTGTCATTATTTGATGTATTGGTTTCTTGAATTTCTTTATGAATCTGATTAGTGACTGGGTTGCTATTTTTCTTTCGTCGTGTTCATGTGGAAGGTATATGGAAGTAATGATAATATCAATTTTTGGTTTGAACTTGAGGTGAACTGCACATCAGTACTTGTTCTCAGTGAATGTTTCGAAGATGTGATTGTTTAGATCTTTTTCTATTATTAGACAGGAGCCGTTTTTTGATGAGCTAGATGGTGTGCTTGAAATAATTAGTTTGTTGCTGAGTTTCTTGGGAAGAGGATTTTTATCTGAGATCTTTGTTTCAGAGCAGCACAAGATGGTTCTGTCGTTCTTGAGATCCTGGGATAGTGCTGCTAGTTTGCTTTTGTTATTTAGTCCACGGACATTCAGAGTTAAATATTAAATAGGTTTTTAATATGGATATTAGGAGGATTTGGTGGGAGGGTTTGTTGCATATTTGCATTTAATGAGTGGTTGAAGTTGGGTGATGATGTCATTTAACAGATAAAGAAAATAAGATCGAAGCCAGGCTCCGATAGATCTTCGGGGGCTATGTATTCCTCTGGTAATCTGTCAAATGTGTATTTTTTATGGAGTTGTGCAATTAGTGAGGATAGATTTTCATCATCTGTAAGGGGGAAACGTATTGAAGACAGATTGTCCTCTGATATTTTATTAAGCTCATCCATGGAGGGTAAGGGTGGCTTTGGAGCCTGGAACCAGTTTTCAGGAATAGTACAGAACTCATATCTCTCATGCAATTTATGCACCATTGGCAGGAAGTCGTCATCTCAGTAATCAATATGATCTTTAATAACAATAGACTTATTCCCTTCAGAGATCTTGCTTGGAAGCTTTTCTTTATCTGTCTGGGAGATAGTCGGGTTGACCCATTGAGGGCCAAGAGGCAGGTTAAATTTAAAGTTTTTCTGTAGATGCTTGATAAGATGGTCAGCATCCTCTTTGTTTTGGGCAGGGATATTCATGCCAAGATTATCCAACAATGAGTTGGGGGAGCGAGGCAATGGTCTTTTGAACTTATAAAAATCCAGCGGCAAAGTTTTAAGGCTGTATTCTTTTCTTAAGATGCCAATAAGCTCTCTCGTATTCATGACCATCGGGTCATGAGGGAAGTAATGTACAAGGTGCTCTGGAAGCAGCTTGTATGATGCTGGGAGTGGGACTTTGAGAGGTGGCAGATCGAAGAATGTTTTTGGCAATCTTGCTGGAACTTCGTAGAACTTAGCCAGCTCCTTTATTTATGCTGAAAGTTCTTTCAGGTCTTTTCTTTCTGTGATAGGGAAGAGATATTTAGTGTCTTTATTTAGGTTTCCGGGATTATCTGGTAGTGGTTCAAACTTGAAGAAATATGAGTCAGGGAGCTGAGAAAACTTGTAGTGTATTCTCAGAACTGATACTGTGGACGAGAGCATTGATCTTTTTTTGATTGGCAGTGGGCTTGGGAGTTTAATAACTACTCTGGAAGGAATGGATTCTGGATTGTCTGGGAGAGCTGGTAGTGATTCGTACAGCATTTCTTTGATTATATCTAACAATTCAATGTAATTGACTGTGCTGTAATCATCTTTTGTAAAATAGTTGCATCTGAATTCAAGAATTTGTGCAATTTCAAAATATTTGAATTTATTCAAGTTAGTGTATCTAAGACACATCACCAGTAGTGATGCATTGAGCATCCATCTGATTTTCCTTTTGATTCTCCTACTGATATAGTCAATGTCGTTGACTTTTTTGTAGTTTTCATGTGCTTTTGTTTCTAGCTCTTCGTACTCTTTTTGGTGGTTACCTTTGAGTAGGTCATTTTTGGTAAATGATCTGAAAAAGATCCTGTCTCTCAATAGGATTTTAGTGAAGATTGCTAAATGGGGTTCTTGTATAACTGTTCCTTTAGGGGTTTTCATGATTTTCTCGAAAAGGTCAGCTACTGCTTTGGCTTTACTGCGGCATGCCAGTAGCTGTGATGCTAAGTCAATGATTGTATCATGTTCGCTGATGAACCATTCGTTGCTGCCTACTGTGCCTGTGACCTTGGGGCTGTCTATCGGATGGCTATTTTCTGAAAGTATTTTTGCAATTCTGCTTTCTTTACTGTATGAGAGAGGAGCTGATTGCGATTTCTTTGGTGGATTTTTAATGAGTGAGGGACTACGGGAGATGTTGAGATTTTTATCCAGGCTTGGATCATTGGATGGCCAGCCGGATTCGGCTTCTTCAAGTATTTTCTTTCTTCTGACTTGATCAGGTGTCAGTTCATTAGTATCTGGTTGAGCTGGGGGATGTTTTCTTGCAGCTTGCCTAGCTCTTCCTGTACCTGTCAGTCGAACTCTATGAGGGAGCTGTTGTTATCAATAAGATTAGTGGCGTCCATGGACTCCATTGATACATCGTTATTAGAGCAGGGGCTAGTGGGTCTGATTGTGCTTCCTGATTTGTCATGTTGATAGTCGGTGGTGACTGCATGGTGGGGATCATCCACTTGCATCATGTCCCCTTGATTATGCATGTCATTGATATTTTGTGCTGTATAGCCTGCCATGCTTGTCACGCTTGCCTGTACCTGAGCTGCAGGGGTGCATGTGTGCTGCTGTTGGTTTTAGCTATTTTGGGGTTGCCCATGTTCTATAGATCACTAGGAGGGGGTAAGCTACTTGAGGTTTTTTTGGAAATTTGGGATGGAAGCTTTTTTTCTTCAAAATTTTCAGTGAGGTTTTGCTCAACAATTGTTGATTTTTCATCTTGTACTGGCGTGTTGGGTGGTGCATGAGATAGTGCATTCTGAATTTTTTCCAGATCAAATCTTTTGTCACTTTTAATAATATTAACTTGGTTCCATGAAAGGTGGAGAGTATAGTTGAAGTTGTTGTCTAGGACCTTTTTTGCGATGGTCTCCCTTATACTTGGGGCAAGGTTATTCCTCTCTTGATATTGGAAGAAGTCATTGAGGTTGTTTTGGGTATTACTTTTGCGATTGTTGATGGTTAGAAAAGCCATTGTATGTGTTTGGGAAGAGGTGGGGCTGATTGTTACTTGTTTGAAGCTGACAAAGGCGGTATCCACTTGAGTGGAGCTATTTTTACTTGGGTTTTGCAAGGGAACAATTCAAAATTTAGAAAAGTTAATTAGAACTGAAATAGATACATTTTTTGCTGGTTCAGTGACTTGGATATTGCTTGAGTTGTTTTCCTTATATACTACAGAAAAGAGTTGTTCAGCAATGTTTGTTATTACTATGTCCAAGAGAATATGAGATGGGTTTGGTGGTTTGCTCTTGGGAGAGGAGCTCCCAAGAGTGGTTGTTGTTTTACTTCTCCTAATAATTTTGCCAATTACTAAAAAAGGAAATTTTTAAGCGATGCGAAATTTTCAGGAAAGAGTTTTTTTTATAAATATGTAATTATTATTTTAATTAAACTTAAATAAATATATAATTAAATAAATTATAGAATTATATATTTAATTTTTAAAATAAATAATTTATTTATTATAATTATAATTTATTTTAGTTTAATTAAATTATAATTTAATTATTATTATTATTTATATTATTAAAAACAATTAAATTTAATAATTAAATAAAATATCTAATTATATTTTTAATTTTTATAATTAAATAAATTATTAAATCTGAATTTAAACTTTATTATAGTTTAAAATTTATTAATAATTATTAGTATATAGATAAGTTTTTCTTTTCACTTTTGAAACATGTCTTCGATTTGATCAGTCATAATTTAATCTCTCTCCTAATCTAAAACTCTTTTCATACCAATTTCCTTAAGCAAACTTTGATACTTTCATTTAGTCAATTACAAGTATTTCAGGTGCACTTGAAAACAAGATAAAAGTTATTTACAACTTTACTTTATTATTAAATACTAATGTATTCTTAACTAACTTGAATTTCCTCTTATATATTATTAAATTACATATGTATTTATGCATGCGTTCATTGTTTACATATTTTTATCGAATCGCTATTCTATACTATTTCAGAAATTCCCACTTTTAAATTCACCCACACTACTTTCTCACTGTTCCCTTACAATAATACTAATTATATAATGTGACACATCATATTATCGTAATTCTCTTTTTTGCTAACAAAATTTCTCCATGCCTATTTATGCACACTGTGCATAAGACCAATTCTAATCTTCTTATTTGTATTACTGGTTGATGGCAATATAATAGACAGCGAAATCTCATCTGTGTTATGTGACACAGAAAATTCTGATTTTCTTGATCTTTCTTTTCAATATGTTCTCATGGTCACATGTGTAGTTCTTTTTATAATCAGCTTTCCTACATCTTAACTGATCACTTTTTTTGTTTATATCTTTATTATTCACTAAGAGCTTTCTCACTTGATCGACTTAATTGAATTTCTTATTAACAAAGTGTAAAGAAAGAAACAAGAAACAAGTGAGAAATTAATAATGACTCAGTCAAATACAAATATGCCTAAAATCACCTTTTCATTTATTTATCTAGTAATAGTTATGTGAATCTCTACTAGAGTTAGCAATTGACTTACTATTATACCATTATATTTTTAGTAGTGACTATAAGATTCGTATAAGAATGATGTTCAATTACCCCCAATATTTTTTATGAACACTTTTTTGATACTTTTCTGACCCCTATATCATGAAAAACAAACTATTTATTATTAAAACTCCCTTTACTATTCAAATTTCAAATTTTTACTTTTCTTTTATTTATAGACACCTATGCAGTAGTTTGAGAAGAGCGATCCAATCTAATAAAGGTGTAACAAAAACTGATAATATCGCTAGTAACAATGTATAGAAAACAATAGAAGAACATATCAATGACAAGATAATCATTGAACAAGAAGAGATGAATGAAGACTTTAAAGAAACAACGATCAGCCACCCAAGTGAGATTCTGGAAGAATGCTCTAATAAAAATAGAGTCCAAGTAGCTGAAGATGATCAAAGGGATAATATTATGAAATCCACTTATGACAGAGTCCAGATGACTGAAAGTACCAGAATGCTGGACAAGAAAAATAATAAAGCAAGGGAATTGGCAAGCAAACCAGAAGATGACGAGTTAGTACGAGATGTAGAGAAGAAGCATTATCAAGAGAAGGCAACAGATTGACTAAAAAACAAGATGGAAAAGATTGTAAAAAGAATTATATAATTTAACTTTAGCCATGTTACTATATTATTAATTATTATTATGTCTAAGCTGCTATAGCCAAATGTAAAGTATAAAAGAATATAAAATGTAAAGGAAGAGATGCAATATAGAAGTGAGAAAATAAATAAAGACTCAGTCAAATACAAATATACCTCAAATCATTCTTTCATTTATTTACCCTATAATGGTTATGCAAATATCTGCTAAATTAGCAACTGACTTGCCATTATACCATTATACCATAAATAAATTAAAATATATATAAGTTTTTTTTTTTTTATCACAAACAGGCATTAAATGCGAGATATTTATTAAACATCAGTTTATCATCATTACATTAACAATCTTTAGTTACAGAGTAATTAAATTAATTGTAGCCTATTGCAACTAATCA